ACAGTGGTGCGCGTCTTAGCAACGGGGAACGTCTTGTGACGTAGCTTCACTCCGAGGATATCGTCCATTCATTATGCCAGGTTATGTGCCATCCCGGTATCAACCAAGCCCGTTCGACCACGAGCAATTTACACCATCGTAGTCAATATTCTCAAAGCTGCATCTGTTATAAATCCCGGTCAGTATCATGATGCTGATCCAACATCAACTACGCAACAGGTGACTGCTGACTGATACTGAATTTAACCTCGGACCGATATTCACTTGTGTAGTAGGATATTGGCGCAAAATAAATATTGGTCACTTGTCCAGATTAACATTGTAGGCGTGTCAGGGATTTTGTATTATTGTACAATAGATGAAAGGTCTAGATTATCTTATTTTCATAATGGCGTTATGATAATTTATCGTACAGGTAGGATTAAATCGGACCTATTGACGACGAGTCTAGTCCAACGACCTCGACTTTACATTGTTCAATAAAGTACTCGTTAGTCATCGACATCGGCTAAATTCAAAACTATATCGACGCCTTTAACGTACCACCATGTAACGTCATAGAAGTGGTTCGTCGCTAGACGACATGAATACAACCATTACTCGGACAGCGATGCGAACAGTTTGTAACAATTTTTAATTTATTCGTACTACATGATCATGCTTTGTATCAAGATCATTGATGATCATCGCCCATTGCCCGCTAGCAATTATTTATGAAATAATAATTTGACATCTGTACGCCTTTATCTATTAATAATTAATTTCTACGCCCATCAACAAGTTATTATTCGCTGTAATAACCAATATTTACATTTACATATTACACAGGCAGTATATAAAGTCAACATATTCCATAGTCACCATTACAGTTTTAGACTAAGCATCTAACAGAAAACTTTGTCGCTGTCTTCTTCTTCATTACCGTTGACTTTTACTCCATTACTTTTAAGCCACAATACATTGAATTTGTGTGCTATATACACGATATCATTGTACGCAAGAAATACGTCTGGGACTTCTCTCGACCACTTTTTAATGGATTCACGGGGAATGGCAGCAAATTCGACTGAAACATTTCTAGATGTCAGTGCAACAAATTCAACTCAAGAGATTCTCGATACCATTGTAACAACGTCAACTTCTGATACAGCTTTCGACAGTATTGCAACAAGTTCAACTGGAACATTTATCGATATCATTACAGCAAATTTGACAGACGCGTTTGTCAATAATACAGTACAAAATTCAACGAATATAACTGAAGAAGTACTCGACATTATTGGTGTGAAATCATATGAACAAGTTCTCGATATAATATCAGCGTGCATGTTACTTATTGTTGCTTTTGTTGGAACTGCCGGCAATATTCAAGTGTTTTATATTGTCTACGCTAACAAAAAACTAAGAACCCCTCCGAACATCCAACTGGTATCGTTAGCTGCAGCAGACATGTTAGTTTGTATCATAACATCATTGATGCGGTTTTTTGTTATGGTGAAAAGTCTTCTACATGGGGAAATCAACATAAATGGTCCTTTTTGTATCGGTCAAATATTTGTTATTTACACCTCAACTATGACAACTATAGTTTCTCTGGGAACTATCGCTGCTATTAGGGCGATAACTGTAGCAGATAAGTTGTCACCAAGCACCAAGAGAACAGTTATCTACAGTTTGATCTCTGTCAATTGGATTACAGGGTTGGGATATGGTACATGGAAGGCATGGGCCGGGGAGGACCTCGCGTGCAATCCAGAACCCATAAGTCAGGAAGTGAGAAACGCATCAAGGGGTGGCATACTCATGGTATTTCTAACACTGTGTACAATTGTTGTGTCCTATTCCTACATCTACCACGTGACCAACCGACATGAGAAATCATTTCAACGAGCTATGAAGGCAGCAGACAATAGTGGGCAACGACAACGCAAAACAACGAATCTTGCAACATTGAAGGTAGCCGTTTTACTCATTTCTATGTTCATAATATCATATTTTCCAGTTCCATTATATGGTTTGCTTATATCCAATAATGATAGCTATAGAAATGAGCATGTAGCTAGTTTCTTTTTTTCTTTTATGTGTTTGGGCAGCTTGATAAATCCTATAATATACTCCCTAACTTCTAATCAGTTTAAAAATCACCTATTCTTTAAGAAAAACAACAAAATACAGCCAATAGAACAGGAAAGAAACCCCGTGTAATAACAACTACTATATAATACCCATAATTGCAGAGTAGTCTCTTTTCTTGAAAACAATGACAACACAGTAACAGTATGACTTCAAGTGACACTTTCCGTGAAACACACGATATCACTGTATGTTATCTTTATGCAAATTCGCCATTGAAAAATATAAATTTATAGTCAGCTTACGAACTACTAACACGCATCATTATGTATGTTTGGATAAACATGCGTTAGTATGCTTAAAGCGAAAGAGCCGTTTAACTGTCATCATCTGCGCACGCGCGGGAATTGAGTCTTCGGTGACAATAACAACGCAAGCTAAAACGTTAGGAATCATGGGTAGACTGTAACTATGAACATGTGACAACACCCCCCTACGCTTTAAATAATATGGACTACTAGCATGTTTTACTTAGGTTTACATGTTTTTTTGGAAGAATAACAGACTAGTTAGCTCACGATCTAGTTAGCTCCTTATCCGAATAATGTTTATTCCAATATTTCAAAACCTCCAACTATTTTAACAATAATGGGAACTGTTGTTAGGTCTTGTTGTTACAGTTCTACCATTTAGAGAGAAAAGTGATGGCAATTTTGGATATTTGAAAATTTGTCGTAATGTATGATATTTTAAAAAGTGGTGATAAATTTATGATATTTATAAAACTATTTATATGTATTTTCCCATTTAAATTGTTGTATTGATGTTGTCGTGAGGTGTTATTAATATAATAATTCGAAATATATACGTATTTGAAATTTTCTGTATATCTTCAAATCAAAATACTATACAAATGTGTTTTTCTTATGATATTTTGAGTCCGCTCATTACCCGGTAATATTTCTAAATCCAAATAATTATAGATACATTACTACTTTTTTATCAGATGATATAAGTGGAGTGAAAATGTTTCGGCAGGTATTTCAAAAAAATCTTAAGAATTATGAAAGATTTTGTAACGTTTTTGAGATTCCATGCTGAGTTTGCAAGGTTTAATTAACGTTTTCCAATGTGTTGCTACAAATGAAACCTCAGTATTAATAAAGACAGAAAACGAAAGTTGTAGACTTTCATGAGAGGGAACCTAATGCCAGTTATAACAAAAATACACATTAATGGTAAACAAATTCAAACTGTATATATATATATATATATGGAGTGAGTATAATCGTGTGTCATGTCGCAGGGGAGTGCGGTAGTTATGCTCGTTTTGTCAGATCACTCACAAAATGTATGAATTACTGGTAACGTTTTATTGAATTACTAGAAAACAGAATTGCTAATCATGCTAACCAACGCAGATATATACCTGATGAATATACCTATTGTATTTTGAATAGTTAAAGAGATATTTATATTTGTATAGTTTTCGTATAGTGATGTTAGTTTCTATTTAACCAAATTCAATCAGATGGTAACAGGTGTTACTGCTGTTTATGATACCTAGTAGTCGCCATGTTTAAATCACTCTTGTAATCCCGTATTAATAGTAAGAAACCTTGGGAAATGTGTTCATGAATTATTGAGAGCAGAGAATTGTCAAATTGGTCATAATTTTGATTAGTACAAATATTGTAATATTACTTTCAATGCAACAGTTTTGTGTATTTACTTAAACCATTAGTACACACTGTTATATTATTATATATTGTAAATCATGGAATGAGAAATATTAGTATTAATTGTATATGCTTAACAATTAAAAACTAAAAGTACATTGTTTTATATCGACCGAAGAATGTACGTGTAACGAGATGTTTACCACAAAATCTCAGATTTGTCAATTTCAATATCACATTCTGTTCATTTTAAGTAGTATTTGTTTCTTTCGTGACAGAATCAACAATTCACTTTGTGAGTATTTCCTTATTATTATTATGTTCATTTCAGATCATAAAAAAATATTTAGAAAAAAAAATACAAGTCAAAAAAAAATGTTATGTTTGGTAGAAACTGATAATTACATACTTAAAGCATTTTACCTATGTCTAGAATTTTCTGATTGTAATTGTTTCCATGTTTTCAAGTGTTTAGAAATCGTATATGAATAACAAATAATAGCGGAACTGTATTAGGTGACACGCTGTTTGTTTCTTTCTGGACTTTTGTGTTTAGAGACAGAGACAATTTCAAACGATTTGAAAGCTTTTTCCGACATGTATATTCGAGCTATGTACTTCAGCTCCAATCAGCTGTGTCTTGCCTAAATAGTGCTGGGTTCCATTCAGTCTATAATCATAATACGAATAGTACTTAACAAAAGGTCGCCTACCTGAATTGTTTTTACAACAACACATCTTACACTTATTACTGAGGAAATAATCAACTTGTTTTGGGTTTTCCTTTGTCTTTCATGATACTTGTATATTCTTGTTGTTTCTTTTTTGTGAATTTTTCTGTACCGTACTGTGAATATGAATGAAATATAATAAAACCCGTTCCTTGGAATCGTCACTGATTTGTGTTATTGTCTCATTTATTTTATCACCATCTTTGTAGTTACTTGTACAAACCACGCAGCATTAATTCATGTCGAAATTTCAACCATTTTCACGCAATTTTGTGTAGTATTACATACTAGTGTGTTTCGGTAGTTCTGCGAATTCACGTAAGGGTATAATATGATGAAAATGAGTAATGATGATTCGAATTTTGCCTCTAATTAACACAAAATCATATTTTTTTAATTCGAGGCTGTATTATACCTACTGGGACAGGATAGTCACCTCTATGGTCGCTCAAGGAATGGCATCACGGTGGCGACAATCGTCCAACAATCCATGGTAACACGATAGTTTACGTTCAGTACGTGATATTTCTATTGCACAAACTAAAAAAATAATAAACCTAATAGAAAGCTCTCGGAGAGTACGTACCTTCGCCATACATAAGACATAATCTGGCCTAGATTTACCTAGTCACACGCAACGACTTACAAAAAAACGTTATCTAGACTCATGTCGATAGCCCAACCACTCTGTGTAAAGGTTGGTACCTACCTGCACTTATAATATGCCTAGTAAATACATTCTTAAGATCAGACTTTACCTGTCTACTTGCAGCTGTTGCCTCTACATGGCCATACACATCACCGATACCATCATCAAAATTGCATAATGTTAATACTATTGGTTGGCAGCTAACTTACCGCCAATATTACTTCAACATTTTTTTTGTGAATACACATGGCGCGGTAGAAATGCCGAATTCCAAAGCTAACATCTTCGAATACATAATATTTACCACCGTGACCAAAATCCCGGGAAGTACCAAGAAAACCTGATGTTCTGCGAAAATCGCGATGTGATGGTACATGGACCACACGAACAAGTAAATATCGAACAACGAACACGTCTTCACACCGAAATTCAAAGTTGAAATGAAAAGAGATTATTTTTTTTATTAAATTCTACTGACAAAATTAGCCACGGCTCTAAATCTGTCCACTGGAGTCACCGCCAAAAGGGGCAAACACCGTGAAATATTGGGATGATTGTAACCCCGCTTACACCATACAACTTAAAGCAATCAGAAGCCCAACACAATTTTTCGGGACAATCAAGGTCCCTTAAATTAGGGATAAAAAACATCAGTATTGTCACAAGTGCTAAAATCAATACACAAAGAGTTACCTAACTGGCTGGGTTAAAGTTAAAGTACACATTACGCCAAAATTATCACACACGAAACACGCTCACGGTTCCTTTGAATTCTCCGACATCGTAACTCTAATATGTGGTGTAATATGATGCCCACGTGGCTGCTTAGTAAAGGACAATTTTCTCACTTGTTCTCGCCTTCAGAATCTTTATGTTTCTTGCTGACCGATGGCGATGGCTTTGAAATTACGCTTCTCCGTCCAAATCATCGGTCAATACGTATGCATTGTACGCATGCTTTGACAACCCAACTAAGACCTTCCCTATCGGCTAACCGAACAAGTTTTTACCGCCGTGTAGCGCAGACTATGTCCTGCAACCAGGCGAGTTAATTGTTGAAATTCCGCCATCGTAGAATTACAACTCTGAAATATTGCGTGTTTCACCAACCGCATTTTCAACTCGTACTTGCACGATGTTGTGATGTTAATGGTTTACTGCTGTGCTGATGGTACCTGACTCATGATGATTAACATGAGAAGCACACAAATGGACAATTGCAAACAAAGTAAACTACATATCGGCAACTATTCGCATTTAAGATCACTGTGTCAGTCAGTTCGAATTGTATTTTTTTCAAACTAAACTATTTTCTATATAAAAGAATTTACACTATTGTCGAGATCGCTGAAATGAAAAAGTAATGGAATTATCCACTCTCCGAAATTTGACAATGGTACTAGACCAAAATGGACTTCCTGTACAACGCATCTTTAATGTAATCGACAATGTTCACGTCGCCGTACGTAAACACACATTCCCGAACTTGACAACATTCACTCTCACACAACTAAGCAAATGGATGTAAATATCAGGTAAATCGCTCATGAAGACTGATGATTCGATTGATGGCCGAAATAGCTGTATTTATTGCTCATTTCTATGCAATTATGCTTCTCAATTTCTACGTGTAAAGTCATATCGCTGGTATGGACGGCGACGGCTGACAGACTGTTTTGATTCTGCAGCCTTCTTGACACGGGCAACTGGCTTTTATTTTATTTTTACTATTCTGACGTTTTTTCAGTCAAATTTTACACTGATAAGTAAGTATTAAGTAAGTAAACGATCCGGGGCATAGTCAACACGGGACTTTGGATAACAGGTAGGAGCTAGGTAGCGTCAACATACAGCATTAATGAACGAAATTTATATTACAATATTATGTTTCCGAATAATCCGATATTTGTGCTGGGAACCACCAAGTACAAAGTGTAGTCAAGTCAGTAAGCAAAAGATACTGTACACCCTATGGTATACATGAACATGTTACGACAAAATAGTGAACAAATATTTTCGTAACTAACACTAACCGTGAAATACACCCATCATTGTCGCTGATGGAATATTTTT